ACTTCAACTCCCAGAATTCCTCAGCCAGCAAAGCTGGCTGAGGAATTCTGGGAGTTGAAGTCCACAAGTCTTAAAGTTGCCAAGGTTGGACACCCCTGGTCTATAGCCTGGGAGACTCTCTACACCGCAAGGTCAAATGATGAGAGCCTTTGAAGCTGAACTGACTGTTTCCCAAAACAAAACAAAGAGATGGCATGGATTGGTGGATAATGAGCAGTGGATGGCTTGAGAGGGAGGGTTTTTTTTAATGATACCATTTTTTTGCATGAAAAATCAGAACTGTCTTTGCTTTCTACTGTTCCTATATGGATCTATCAGTACAGTTATACTCTTGGTAAAATAATGTCCCAGGGATTTCTTTTTGTTGCACATGCCAATGGGATGGTTGACGCTTCCGTTGAGAACCTGTCTATTGCACAAACCAGAAAGAGGGTTGAGAAAATATCTACAGACTCCTCACATCCTGAACATAAACTGTTTCAACGTCTCCCCTCAGGATGCTGCTATAGGGCATTACATGCCAAAACATCTAGATAGAAAGATAGTTTTTTCCCCATGCTGTCCCTTTGCTGAACATCTAATTCCCACAGCACTGTTTTAGGTCTAAAAATATTTATCCATGAGGTAAGCTGTATTGCTATAATCCTTCTCATTTTCTCCTCTTTCTTATCTTCCCATCTTCCCTACTACCTTCTCCTGTTGATACCTTATGATTTATCACATTGTTTGCATCTGATGATTAATGACTGTAACTATGATTTATGATCTATTACCTAGTTGTTTGTATGTACACTGAGAGCTTATGCACCAGAGGCAAATTCCTTGTGTGTCCAATCACACTTAGCCAATAAAGAATAAAGAGGAACAAAGAAAGAAAGAAAGAATTTGTAATAAAGTGTACTGGTGTTTTTCAAGCCCTTTACAATAATGTTATTTTGAAAAGTGAAAGAGGATCCCATTTAAAAACATGATCGTTTTATTGGTTAGGGTCATTTATTCATTCAATTTTAGTATGACTTTGAATAGGTTTGCATTTTAAGTGAGAAACCATTGGGCCTATTTACAACTGTGAGGTGGTTAAAGTAGACTGCCAAGTTATAATGGAGACCAGCTTTACTAGGTCCAAGGAAGGGGTCTCAAGTCCATGGCTTAGTGTGCCTGTAGGCGTGGGGATCGCTACAGACATGGCATGGGGATGGTCTGTGGGGCTAGAAGGGCAGTTTGAGTCCTATCCTCCATTTCATTTTCAGAATCCTGGACTCTGAACTACATCAAAAGAGCCACGAGAGGTTCCTCTCCCTCTCTCTGTTTCTCTTTCTGTGTTTGGTGACTCCCGCAAGGCCTAGCAGTTTAGCACTGCCTAATTGTCGGTAGAGCCTACTCTACTTGAAGTAGATAGTTCTGCAGAAAGAGGCAGGACGAGCACAAAGAGCTACTAGAGTTCAGGGGAAAAGCAGAAAATATGGCCATGATGTAAAAAAAAGAGGACAGACATACTGCGGGATAATAATTTCTGAGAAATTATAACATGGGTGACAGGAAGGTTTGAGTTCAAAATAGAGATTACCTGTAAATATATCTGTACCATCACACAAATATTGCCTTAAAGACCTGAATGTTTGTAATTGACTCTTTGTTTTGCTTTCAAGATGATTGCACTGATGTGTATTTGAAATTCCAGTCGTTTCCTCTGGGTTTTGTGAGGGTCTGTTTTGTGCTGTTGAGGAACTGCAACCCAGGCCTATAAAAGAATTAACCAGAATGTAAAATTACATAATTAGAACTGTACAGTATCTCTGATGCTGTATTCTGGACCAATATGAGAATTGGTTGTGAAGTTACTTCTTCATCACTGTCCTGACTGAGGACGATCACTAAACAAGCAGTCTCTAAACAGAGATTACCTGATTAGAAATGTGCCCCATTCTTCAGGATTTGCAACAGACCAACTTTCTTTCTCATACAAACCTCACAATCCTATTTGTTCCTGTTCAGGTATAAAATTAACTCGGGTTTATTTTAATACATAGATTTTGATTCTTATATTTTTCCTCTTTTAAACAGAATAACAGAGTTGAAAGAGACCTTGGAGGTCTTCTAGTCCAATCACCGGCTCCCTCAGGAGACCCTATACCAGTCAGTGGTGGCTAACCTTTTTGGGCTCCTGGGCCAAAAATTGTGTGCGTACTTGCACGCTCGTGCTCACGTGCCAGCACCCAGAAGGCAATGCGCCCCCCCCGCCCTCTACACATGCACGTGCAATCCCACCCCACCCCCCGCCGCCTCCTTACCTGCACTGGGCCTCACAGCTGATTTTTGGCCGGTTTGAGGCCTTTTTTGGCCTCCCAAAGGCTTTAGGAAGGCTTTGTTCAGCCTTCTACAAGCTTTGTAGGCCGAAATCTAGCCCCAATTCATCACTTCCTGTTTTCCGAAAATACCAGAAGTGATGAAACGAGGCTAGATTTCAGCCTACAAAGGTTGAAGAAGCCTTCCTCAAGCCTTTGGGAGGCCAAAAAAGGCCTCAAATTGGCCGAAAATCAGCTGTGAGGGGTGCGCATGTGCAGTGAGGTAAGTTTGCCTGCAATTCGCATGCGGGCACAAATGGCTCTGCGTGCCACCTGTGGTATGCGTGCCATAAGTTTGCCATCATGGCCCTGTACCATTTGTGACAAGTGGTTGTCCAGTCTCTTCCTGAAAGCCTCCAGTGATGGAGCACCCACAACTTCTGAAGTCAAGCTGTTCCAAATGGTTGATTGTTGTCACTGTTGGGGAATTTTTTTCTTAGTTCTAGGTTGAATCTCTCCTTGATCCACTGTTCCCTATCCTGCCTTCAGGTGCTTTGGAAGATAGAATGACACCCTCTTCTTTGTGGCAGCCCCTCAATATTGAAATGCTGCTATCATATCACCCCTGGTCTTGCTTTTCACTACGCCAGCCATATCCAATTCTTGCAACTGTTCTTTGTGTGTTTTAGCCTTGAGGCCCATAATCAGTTCATCAGGCAGTTACAAATCCATCTGATGGTGATGCTATGTTTCCCACATTTTTAGCTTACCAAGGACTAGGTTGGGGTCTACTTTGATTTGTTGATAGTTGTCCATTGAATTGAAAGTATAAGGTTAGGCTGATAAGATCAGAATAAAAACATTGGAAGGTTTTCTAGTCCAATCGCCTGGTCAAGCAGGAGACTGTATTCCATTTCCAACAAATTGTCAGCGTTCCAGAAAACAAACTCCAACTCCAAAAACTCAGAGACAGGCATTTTTTCAAAGTTCCATTTTATTAGAGTTGTCATACTGGCACATCTGGGAAAACCCGAATCTGAGAGTTCCGGATTTTCCCTCAGTAATTAAAAATTAAAAATCCATCCCCTGCACCCCTCAGTCCATCACATGGTCCAATCACCAACCATCCCAACTGGAGACATCCCCCTAACTACTCCTTGTCCAGGTGCAGGATGACATGGCTTTGCCTGAGAAGAACAAATGCTATTATGTCTAACTCCATCCACTCTATGAAATTCCCCCTCCCAATTTCCCAGGCACTGGAATGTGGCAGCGTGGAAGCTCCTGGTGCTAATATGGCTTCCAAGACTGACATAAATGTTTGTCCAATCTCTTCTAAAAACCTTCAGTGACAACTTCTGAAGGTAAGCTGTTCCACCAATTTCATTTAGTTTAGTTTAATTTAGTTTATTGTCATTGCACCTCATACAACGAAATTAAACACCATCTTCAGTGCACATCATGACCATGAAAATAAACACAAACACACATCCTTTGCACTCCACACATTGAACTGAAAACCCCCGACACCGCACCAACACTGCACTATACAATAGAATTCAAATGAGCTACTGCCCTGGGATAGAAGCTGTTTTTCAGCCTATTTGTCCTTGTTTTTATTATCCTGTACCGTCTGCCAGATGGTAATAGTTTAAAAAAAAGGGTTCCCAGGATGAGATGGATCTTTGAGAATGTTTTGAACTTTCTTAAGGCAGTGGGAGCTATAAAGGTCTTCCAAAAAGGGGAGAGGGCAACCAATGATCCTCTGGGCAATGACATTAACCCTCTGGAGTGCTTTCCTATCTGCCACTGTGCAACTGCCAAACCATACAGAGGTGCAGTAAGTTAAGATACTCTCTATGGTGCAGCGGTAGAGGGCCACCAGCAGCAATTAATTGTTCTAACTTTCAGGAAATTTCTCCTTATTTATAGGTTGGTTCCATTTATTGCTTCTTGTGCTGCCTTCAAATTGAGACTAGGTTGACATCCCCCCCCCCAACTCTTCTTTGTGGCAGGTCCTTAGATATTTGAGCATTGTTAATACGTCACCCCTAGTCCTTTGGATTAAAGTAGACATACTCAATTTCTGCAACTGTTCTTCATATGTTTTTTAATCTTCAGTCTCCTAGTTATCTTTGTTGCTCTTTTCTGTACTCTATCTAGAGTCTCAACATCCTTTTCATATTGTGGTGAACAAAACTGATGCAGTATTCCAAGTGTGGTCTTACCAAGGCATTATAAAGTGGTACTAAGTCTTCACATGATCTTGATTCTATCCCTATGTTCTATCTCTCCTAGGACAGCATTGGGTTTTTTGGCAGCTGAAGCACACTGCTGGCTTACATTGAAGTGATTGTTCACTGGGTCTCCAAGATCCTTCCCACAGTTAGTACTATTGAGCAGGTTCCACCTATTCTATACCTGTGCATTTGTTTTTTTTCTTACAACTGAATTTCATTTTGTTAGATAGGGCGCCATATTCCAGTCTATTGTGAACCTTCTGTATTTTGAGCCTGTCTTCTGGAGTGTTGGCTATTCTATCATCTGCAAATTTGATGAATTGTCCTTCTATCCCCTTGTCTAAATTGTTTATGAATGTATTAAAAGCATTGGGCCTAAGGCAGAGCCTTGGGGCACCCCACAGCTTACTTTCCTCTATGTAGATACAGTTCCATTAAAGACTACACATTGCATGTGATTTGTCAGCTACTTACTAATCCATCTAGTAGTGATGCTGTCTAATCTACTTTTTTTAAAAAAATCAAGTAATGGGTTGTGGTCTGCTTTATCAAATGCCTGGGTAATGAAACTTCTGCAACAAAACAACCAATCTCCGAGAGCACCAAGGATCCCTCATTTCAACCTTGAGCTACAAATATTCTTTGTGATCAAAGCTGCTTTAGCTACACTTCTATGAGAAGCAGTGCTTTTAATCTTTGGTTAAAAGGCTCAGTACATTTCATTCTTATTTATGGAGGGTCATCATGCTCTCTGCTGCTACAATACTCACCAAGAACTCCTATCAGTATCATGGCCACCACCAAGAGAATATTCCCAGCACAGGAAAGCCAAAGAACAATCCAATACCAATGAGGGCATAATCGGCGATCTGCAAAATTCAAGCAAAAATAGTTTCCTTGGCCTTCCAGAGTTTGACACATGTGATATTCCAAGCCTTCATTAAGTACATTTTCACTTCCTTATATTAAATTTAAAGAGATCTGAAGTACATCCACTTGTCAACTCGTAAAGCATTCCTGGCTTGTTCTCGAGTTGCCATAAGAAGGTGGGGGAGAGATCTGATGGAGCAGTTTGTTGCTATGATTAGATGCACATTCCACGCATACCTTTCTCCAGATTGTGTCTCAAGTTAACAAGCCCAGCCGCGGCGAAAGTGCTTAGTTGGAGAATGTGATTTATGACACACCCTGGGAGTAAGCAGGGAAACAGGGTCATAGGGGAACAGTAAATTACGTAGGGCAGAGCGACTGCCCTTGGAAAAAGTGCCGTCATGTTGCTCCTAATAAATAAATGGATTTCTTTTGAAACCTGGCTCGAGGCTCATGAATTAATTAGGGCATCCGTTGGAACCCTGACATCACTCTTACTAGAGAGGCAGAAACTCTGGGAGATAAGTGGCTCCCAAATAACCTGGTCTTATCAACATACATAACACATAATTGTACAACACACATGATATAATTGTAACAAAAGTAATAGAGAACTGGCAGAGATTAAAGAAAAAAGAACAAAAAGGGGCTCAGAAGGAGATAGAGAGGAAGATCCCTATTTACTGCCTTTTAATCAAAGATCCTGTAAGAGATATGAATGGATGAACAACTGACATTCAAAACAATGTGTCGCTCCAGCCATGCAAACCTTTAGAGGGAATAACCAGCAGCTCTTCGAATTTTATCTGTAAAACCGCAGAAAAATAAAATGTGCATATCTCTTACCACAAAGTAGATAAATACAGAACAATTCTATTCAAATAGTACTTGATACCTAGCTCCATTGGATTCCTACAAGATTTTTTTTTAATCCACTTTGCCAGTGAACCTTCACATTTCATGCATGTAGAGAAATGCATCCAGGTTTTTTTTAAAAGCACAGAGGTCTGCAGTGCTCTGTGACACTGAGATCATCAAGAACCTCCAAGCTGAGATTAACTTTTGTACAGTTACTTGGGAACAAAGGCAACTGCAAGACATCCAGTCCAAAGACTTCCTTCTGTTTTCTATATGAGAAGATGCAATAAATCAGATCCAGTCCTATGTGTGATATTCTGGATAGTGTAATTGCTTCTGTTATTATGATCATTATTACATCATTATTAATAATATTATTAATATTAGCTAACGCCCAAGAAGATAGGCTCAAGATCCAGACAGATCTTGACAGACTGAGCCGTACCTAACAAAATGAAATTCAATGTAGAGAAAAGTAAAGTCCTACACTTAGGACACATACAGACTGGGTGAAACCAGGCTCAATAGCAGTAACTGTGAGAGGGATCTTGGAGTCTTAGTAGACAACCAGCTAAATATGAGCCAGCAGTGTGCAGCAGCAGCCAAAAAAGCTAATGCAATCCTAAGTTGTATTGACAGAGGGAGATCAAGGGAGGTACTAATACCACTCTATAAAGCCTTAGTAAGACCACAACTAGAGTACTGCATCCAGTTTTGGTCACCACATTATAAAAAAGATGTTGAGACTCTAGAAAAAGTACCGAGAAGAGCAACCAGGATGATTAGGGGACTGGAGACTAAAACATATGAAGAACAGTTACAGGAACTGGGCTTGGCTAGTCTAGTGAAGAGAAGAACCAGGGGAGACATGATAGCAGTCTTCCAATATTTGAGGGGCTGCCACAGGGAGGAAGGGGTCAAGGTATTTTATAAAGTGCCTGTAGGCCAGACAAGGAATAATGGATGGAAACTGAACAAGGAGAGATTCAACCTGGAAATAAGGAGAAACTTTCCGACAGTTAGAACAATCAACCGATGGAACAGCAATTTCCTTCAGACGTTGTGGGAGTACCATCACTTGAGACTTTCAAGAAGAGATTGGATTCCCATCAGTCAGAAATGGTGTAGGGTCTCCTGCTTGGGCAGGGGGTTGGACTAGATGACCTACAAGGTCCCATCCAACTCTGATTATCTGTTATCTGTTAACATATCTTTTAGTTATTCTACAAGCTAAAAGCAGCTTTTTAATGTAATTGCTTCTGTTACTATGATCATTATTACATGATATCGTATAGTTTCTCTACAAGCTAAATACAGCATGTATTGTGGGGCTCCCCCTGTTACCCGCACAGTAACAAATCCTCAGAGAGAAATCAAGCTGGGAAATATTGTGACTGGATCAAAGTCACTGAGGGAGCTCTGCAGCCAAGTGGCAACTTAAATCTAGATCCTCATCTGCACCCCTACCAGCTATGTCAGCTTCTATTTTCATTTACAATGCTATTACAAAAACTGAAATGGAGTGTTTTTTGGAAAATGTCCTGAAATAAATGAACTTACCTGCCTGTTGAACAACATTTAATTGGGTGCTTATTCTTCTGGGTGAGGAATATTCAGAACACTGCATGTTTTCATAGTTTAGACCGGCATCCATGGTCAACTGCAACCTCAAATAGATGGGCTATGTGTAACTGAGACGTTCTTAATATGCCTACGTATGAGAAACGGAAGTGTGGTTGATCTGTACTACCTAAGTATGTAGTTGTGGTATACAATGAAAGGAGGAAAATCTCTGGTTCTCTAGTTCTTCCGTAGTTGATTTCCAGACAAAGAGTGCAAACAAAGCTAAGAAGCTGTCAACTTGTAAAGCATTCATGGCACTGTTGCAATTTACAAAGGGAGCTAAGATGAAAAGGTTGCAGTTTCTTTTGCTATCTTTGGGCTGCCAATCAATCAGAATAGAGCTGGATGGGACCCTGGAGGACTTCTAGTCCAATACCTATACCCTATACCGTTTCAGACAAGTCTGGGAATCGTAAACACCCAATGCCCTCAAATTCTCCTGTTTTTACTTGTGAAAGGGTTTACAATATCTCCTATGCCTTCCCTTTATTTTTACCTAAAGTCTTCATTTTATTATGTGGGAAGGCTTGACTTCTCTACATGCCCTGGCCTTCCATGCAAGTGAGACCATTAACACAACTTAAATGGGAACTATCCTCTGGTTGTGAGAGTGATGTGACATTCTTATCCAAAACAGAAGTCCTTACCAGGCCAGGAGAGTCAACAGGTGGGGCTTCTCCCCATCAACCCAAAAAGAAACTACATTTGCTAAGGAAGCTTGCACACAATCTCTGTTAGTTGGATATTCTGAGAATCGAAATCCTCACGTAACTGGATATCACCAGACAAGAGATGTGCTATGGCTGCTTAACCATATAATTGTACCTCTGACACAATCTATATTGGATATAGCAGGCCAGCCCTGTATTGGTCAAATTATGGCAGCCATCCTAAAGTAGCTGTTTTTTAGATCTTTCTGTCAGTCATGAAGGGACCTTCAAGAGTTATTTGGTCTTAGTTGCTGAAATACCTCAACTCTGAGGAGTGAGATATTATTTGCTGCATTGGCTCAAACCACACATTTTGGAATGACTGTTCTTATTTCTTGAGAATTTCTTGTTTTCTTGAGAAAACAAGATAGCTACAAACTCTGGTCAGAATAAAAGGCAGTCTTAAAAACTGTTTGCAAACAGGAAATATATTATTCTCATTAAGCCTGACCACAGTCTCTTTCCCCACAGCATACAGTCTCTTGTTAAATAAATGCCCCACTTGGTATTGTTTTTCAGATTGTAATTTCTTCAGAGCAAGAATTCATTATTATTTTTTTAGATTATGAGCAGCTATAAACTCTATTTTGATAACAACATGGCCTGGTTAAAAAGATCTGTTTTACATAGAGGTGGAAAAATGTTTGAATTTTGTTCTCTGTAAGGAAAGACAGTTGCTTGAAAAGGAAAAATTGGTTTCCAATTTGTTTGCTTCTAGATTTGAAGACCTTAAATCTTTTATATGGGGTAGCCATAATAAATAGCATACTGCTGACTGTTGTTGAAAGTGTAAAGCTTGTACACTCAAGGATGTTATTTTGTTTCAAATCCTGATGTAACTTGGAGATCACCACACAAGGGATCTGCTATGGCTGCTTAACTCTGTTATATTACATCTCACAAAGTCTGTAATGCATCTAGCAGGCCAGCCCTGCATTGGTCAGATTATAGCAGCCATCCCAAATCAGCTGTTTTTCAGAACTTTATTTTCTTCTTACAGTTATGGAGAGATACTAACTAGAGAGTCCTTCGGTCTCTGTTGCTGAAATACCTCAGCTTTGAGGAGCTTTGCTGCATTGGCTCAAACCACACATTTTGGAATGACTGTTCTTATTTCCTGTGTATCTGAAGACACGATAGCTATCAACTCTGGTAATTTTTTAAAAGGCAATCTTAAAAGCTCTTTTGCAAACAGAAAATATTCTATTCTCGTTCTCCATAGTATGCAGTCTCTTATAAATTGAATGCCCTGCCTAGTATGATTTTTCCCGATTGCAATTTCTTCAGTGCAGGAATTCATAGTCCTTTTTTATTTTAAGATAATGAACACCTACTAACTCTATTTAGATAACAAGAGAGCCTGGTAAAAAGATTTGTTTTACAGAGAGCTAGAAAAATATTTGAATTTTGCTCTCTGGAAGGGAAGACAGTTGCTTGAAAAGGAAAAATTGTTTTCTAATTTATTTACTTCTAAGTTTGAAGACCCTAAGTCTTTTATATTGAGCGATCATAATAAATCTAATTAAAAATAACAATCTAACACTATAGACTGTTGTTAAAAGCTCAAAGCTTGTACAGTCAAGGATGTTATTTGCTGCTTGAAATGTAAAATAAAATGTCAGAGTATGCACACGCCTTCATAAATAGAGTAGAAAGGCACTGAGAATTTTTCTTTTAATTGAGCATGGGACAAAGTGAAAGACATAGATTGGGGCTGAGACACCAATTTCCATAAAAGCTTGACTGGCTGCCAGCAAATTCAAGGACATTGTTGGATATAATGATCTGAAGACAAACCCTCCCACACACACATCCCAGTCAAGAATCATAAAATAAAATGGGCAGGAGATTCTACTATAACTATATAATCCTCAGACGGTGCCTTTCATTCTTTATCACCAAGTGAAGAATCAAAGAGATGCTGAGCTATCAATCTTGGAAACAACAGATCTGGCTGATCTGGGGTGGAAGAGGATACCTGAAGCAATATTTAGAAGGAAATTAGTAAACCACATCCCCTCCAAAACTGGCAGGGCAAACCACTGTATGTAAACACGAAACAAACCCCACACTCCCTCACACTGATAACATTACGAAAGAATCAAGACTATACAGTAAATTGCAGTTCAAAAGATTTATTGCTCAAGCCTATATACAAGAATATCCAGCTAAAGTTCAATAGTAAATTGGTACCAGATAAGGGTCAAGACAATTCAAGAGGAGTTGGACTTAATGTAACAACGTTATGAAGTGTTTAACTCCACCTTGTAGGTCTGTCTGCTCTTCTCCAACACTTACCTGGGTAATGAAAAGTCTGCAAGCAAACAACTAAGCTCAGAAAGCACCAAGGACCCCACACCTATTTGAGATTGAGTGTTGCTCAATTTTACAACTTTTTTTTTGCCACAGTTGTTAAGTTTATAATACAGTTGTTAAGTGAATCTGGCTTCCTCATTGACTTTTCTTGTCAGAAGTTTTTAAAAGGGGATCACATGACCCCAGGACACTGCAACTGTCCTAAATAGGAGCCAGTTGCCAAGCACCTGAGTTTTGATCACGTGACATGGAGATGCTGAAAATAGTCATAAGTGTGAAAAATGGTCATAAGTCACTTTTTCAGTACCGTTGTAACTTTGAACAATCACTAAGTGACTAAACAAACAGTTGGTAAGTCAAGGACTACCTGTAATCCAATTTTGTACAAGAATAACAGCCATGCCTTACTTGTGGTAAATTGTACTTGAAGTTTGAGGCTACATAATGGTGTGCTGAAGCTGACTTCTGCCTTGCAAGAGCCAATTTGTTATATTTTGTTATTTGATTCAGAATTTTGTGAGCTGGTAAAACCTTATTTTATTCCTGTCTTTTGTGGGAATTGGTTTTCCCTTCCAGGTTTACATAATTTCCAGGTATGTGAAAAGGTTTCCTGCTTCCTTCAGCCAAGTTGAGATGAATAACCCCCTTTTTTTTTTAGCCTGGACCAGATATCATTTCTAAAAATCTGATTCTCTGAAAGATAGGAATAAAATAACTGTGAATTGTTCTGTCTCACTTGTAGCCACAAGTGAGAGTCCAAATGTCCCAAAGAAATAAACACGAACAAATAATACCAGAAACCACAGAGTTAACTTTTCTCTGTAATCGTCGTTGGCAGCTCTCCCAGAAACTGTCTTCAAGCCGAGATAACGAGCCACAAGATAATTCAGGAACAGAAGGCTTCTTCTAAGCTGCGCAGTAACTAACGAAGTTTGATCCGGACAAGGATCGTTTAGCTAACATGCCTCCTTATGTTCCTTGAAGGGGCGTGTCAGTCTCTCTAATTAGTCTCTGACTTGACGTTTCTTTTCAAATTGTGCTTGACGTCTCAACCTGCGTCTAGTCCTTGCATCAACCCAACATTCGTCATTTTGGTCATCACTCAAGGACTCTGGTATGTTCTGTCGATCATCTGCTGACACCTGAGGCATAATTGATGAGGAAGGTTCAGGAGAGGATGGCGATTCCAACATTCCCTCATCCTCCTGGCTCACGTCTGCATCTCTCATTAAAGCAGGCTCCAATTCCAATGCCAAACCTTCCTCATTACTCGAACCTGTGTCTTCTGATACATCAGACTCAAAGCTCACAGCAGGCTCAAACCTTCCAGTCACAACACTGAATCATTCATATTTTTTTTCTTCAAGGTGAACCTAACCACAAGCGAAAGAAGATTTAGAGTCAGAACGATGTGCTTGCCACTGGTTTACTTATCTACAACTGAAAGAAAGATTTACTTTAGATAGGAAAGCTTGTGGTTTTGAAGTTGTTAAAAATGAATCTGAAATTGTATTGTGTGCTAATGATGAACATCTTATTGTCAAGGCTTATAAAATGCAGCGCAAGAAAGTGAACATGTTCAACACTATTTGATTCAATGAACAAAAAAAAATTGGCTATAATTCTTGAGCATATGTAAACCAAAGGCCTGAAATTAATGTTGAACTTTGAGTACGCAAATAAACCTGGCAGATGGTTGGCTTATAAATTAAAAAAGGAAAATAAGAGAAGAACCATACATCAATTATTAGACAAGAATGGAATTGAGGAAATTAATATGGATAAGAAAAAAGAAATTGTAAGAGAATTCTTTGAAAATTTATACACCCAGGGAAAGATAGAAATGGGAAAAATAGATGAATATTTGAAAGGAGAAGTGCTGCCCCCATTATTGGAAGAAAAAAGGGAATTATTAAATAAGGAAATAACACTAATTGAATTAAAGGAAACAATTAGAAAACAAAAAAAGAATAAAACACCAGGTCCTGACGGTTAACCAGGAGAAATCTACAAAAATATAGGAGAATCAGTAA